AATGATGCAGCGTGTTAGGGTTCGGAGCATTATTCGTCCACCGCTAATCAATGCTAAGAATGTCATATTTTAGCGCGGAACGCGATTGGACCTGGCGGCCTTTAGTCCATCGTAGGATCAGACAAAGTATAGGGCTCCGTGTTTTCGGATAAATCCGAAAAACTCCGAAAAACACCCGCCAGTAAAAGTTTATTCATTTCGGATTTATCCGATAAACTCCAAATTTCAATGTGCCAATGCCCTCCCCCCCCCCCCTTTTCCAATAAACTAAATAAAGACGGTATTTTATAATTAAGTTTTATCAACGCAAATGGTCGATGGTCCCCGGGAAAGTGCTACCAGAGTTATCTTCCGAATCTCGGTTCATTGACAAAAAGGGGTCTTACCAATTATCTCGTCAAGGTTCAGAACGACATGTCATTGTGCATCCGGGTCACAACCAAAGCCCCTGTATTGGTTTTCAGTTTGGGCCATACTATTTGTGCCTTAAGAGGAAGAGAGGTGGCGTTCTTGTAACAGCTAAAGCTATATATGGATCCTAGAGTTTGCATAAATTTGGAAGAGGGGCAGTTGAAGCTTCCCTATTTTATCCTTTCTCACTCCACCTTGTGCGGCCGCGGGGTAGCATGGGATAGGAAGGGTAGAACACGTGTTCCCCAGCGACTTCCTCCAAGAGATTATTTTTAAGGTGTCGGCGTTTTTCCAAGCCACATACGTGCGCAACGTTTGCCGTGGGACAAGTTAATTAGTATCCCAATGGCAATGGCACCAGCGCCAAACCCAGCTGAAGAAATATTATTTGATATAAGCGCGTTTTATTTTTCCTTGTCTAGCATACGTATACACCCGGATATTATTCTTTTTGTTTTTATAAAAAAAAAAACACTGCAAAAGTAGGCTCCGAATATTGAAGATTTTAGAACGAAACAAAATAAACTTCTATAAACTTCGAATTTCCAGAAAAAATTAACTCTGAAAAACACGCTCCGAATTCGACGAAAAATAAACTCCGCAAACACGGAATCCTAGAGATTAAGTAATCCTTGCGTTAAAGTAATCAAGAATTCTAAAATATGCGAGGGGTCCCCACTCAGGGTCAAAAAGTGCTTCTCGCTTAAGAGTGCCCTGCAACGACTTTTTGACTGGTCTTTATTTGCACCGAACCTGGGCGCTCTGAATGTTGTAACTTAATTAAACATTTTTCAAAGTTCGCTTTATTTCTAAAGTTATAGGCAAATTAATATTACAAAAACAAGCAAAAATTAACCTCCTTCATCATGTAAATGGTCCTGGCTTGAGTGGCCGTAAACTAGAGGAGGGATAGGAGCTCAGCGACCGCACACGGCTGCCGCACTCTATGTCGATGGCTCGAGAGGGCGCCACTACAGCATGTCCTTCATAGGCTTGATGAAGCAGGCGGCCAGGACGGCTCGCATTGCATTTTCTGCGTGACTAAAGATTAATTCGGTATGACACTCATTGGCCACAAATAACAAAAAACATAGGGTAAAAATGAGTTCAGAACGTTAGCCACTTCGCACAGCCAAACCGTTAAACGGCCAAACCGCAATCCAAACCTGCTCGCGGAAGTTTTTCGGAACGCTTGGAATTGGTCGGATCCTCCAGCCCATATTACCGCAGCGCCTTGGCGTACATCCGGGACCTTTCTACGGTCGCCGCTCATCGGTGGCTGATCCCACTACATTTTTTTCAGTATGTCCCGCCTTTTCTACCACGTGGTGGCGGGTATGTTGACGAGTCATTTTTTGTTTCTGTACTTTATAAACTGCATTTGTTTCTTTTTTTATCTAAAATACTGAACAAAAAAAGGTACACGCTTAAATAGTATTGCAGGGACCCTTTAAGGCACGCCAGAAAGATATAACGCGCATTGCGTGCACACTGTATAATTTCAAACCCATGAGTACTAATTTTTCTACCACGGGTCATTCCACTTAGTTAATTTCTCAAAAACTACACACAAATCTGGTTGCAGGAAATGTGTAACAACATTTTGTAATAATTAAGAAATTACGGCATCATGTTTTCTCATACTTGTTTGCTTGAACTATCCTACTTCGACGTGTCTTAATCGCACTACGAAATCATTGACAGTTTATTGATTAAATGTTACCGTACCGAAGCACCCCGATTTTGTTTTCTTTTTTAGGACTAGACCATTTTTTATGACACTTAAAAGAGGCAAAGAGTTTTTAACATGACATGGTGGAGGGCATGCACAAAAATATTTGCTATATAAAATAATTTAGTAGCGCGAATTATACTAATGCTTAATTCGTATAAGCTGCTTCGTCATTCCTACCTTTGCACTATCATGCATGCTACTCGCGAAGCAAGTTGCATTATAACATTATACTGATGAATTATGGGCTATAGGTGTTTAAATGTTGAAAAACACAGTAGGCTTAAAGATTAAAACATTCTTTTAAGCTTGACTCTTGTAATTCTACGTATTATCTTCTCATTTTGTTCTTATACAATCAAGTGAAACCACCAAATTAAAATCCTTGTATTAATAAAGGAGTAGTGTTTTATTATTGGGGTTAGATTCAAGCATTTGTGCCTGCTTGAAGTACGCTTGTTATTTTTTTACATATGTTTTGTATGCTTAAGCTGGGAAAGTCTCCAGTTTAAAAGCTACACAACACCCTTACTTTCGTTGACCCACCGCAGCCGAAATCATCATTTACATATGGAAACTAATAATAAATATGTACCAAAGTTGAAAGCTGGGCTAGTTTGTGTAGGCTAAACATAATGTAGGTAAAACAGTGCAGAATTACAAAAATTAGGAGGAACAACAAAGAGTAAACAGGCACTGACTTGCAACTAAATGTTTTATTACCGAAAATATAAAAAAGTAAACACGTAAGGCAGCATTTTACAGATGCGCCAACATTTCTGCCTCATAACAAATGGCGTCGGTCGTCCACGTGCCACGTGCTCCCCACCGTTATTTTTTTTTCTTTCATTGGTGAAACGAAAACAACACCTGTTTTACAGACAGCGTCACGGACGGCTCGCTGATGCACTGCGCTCGCTTTGCGCTATGTAAAAAGCCTCTAACACCTCGCTCGTAAGCTTGTCTTTGTGCCTATCTACAAGCGTGGTCTTTTCGAAGGACGGATTGCACAAATAGCTCTTACAGTGCTCCGCCAAATGCCCTCCAACTGTGGTTCTCAGTGAATAGTTGTGCTCCCTGAGCCTATCATCTAAGCACCTCTCCGTTTGTCCAATACGCACTTTACCGAACGCAAGGGAAACCTTGCATACCACTCCGGAAGTACAGCTCACAATCGGCTTTGCCTGTTTTTTTGTACACTTGCTTTATGACAGCCTTTCTACCTTGGCCCTTACCCTCGAACATATCTGGCTCAACTTCTGAGGGGTGGTGGGGGCATCAGTTTCACGTCGGAAATCCCCAAGGAGGGGGTCCTGTAGTTTTTGGACCTTTCCCTTTCCTTCGGTGGCAGTCTTATCTGCTGGGCGTACAGTCCTCGGTCAAAAAATGCCATCTTAGACTACAGGTCAGCCTACTCAAAGTTCATGAAAAGGGGAATTACGATTTTGTGCTTCGACGCGGCCCTAAACAAGTCCTGTGTCCAAACGTTGCACCAGACGATTTTGGCACAGTTGAATAGGCTAAGATACGCTGGGTTTCCGCGTGCTTTGTTGCGTGATGCTGCCGGCACCCTTGTTAAAAAGGTAAAAGAATCCTCTCCTCCTAAAAAAGTGGTGGACGGGCCAAGGACTGTCGTCGTCTCATACCGGCACAATGTCTCTCAAAATTTAAAAAAAAAAATAGGAAGTCGGTACAACGTCCCAGTGGTGTTTTCCTCCCCTCAGAAAAGGATCCAGATATGTTCGAGGGTAAGGAACAACGTAGAAGGGGCTGCCTTAAAGCAAGTGTACAAAAAACAAGCAAAGCCGATTGTGAGCTGTGTTTTCGGAGTGGTATACAAGGTCCCCCTCTCGTGTGGTAAAGTGTACAGTATATTGGTCAGATGGGGAGGTGCTTAAATGATAAGCTCAGGGAGCACAACTATTCACTGAGAGCCACGGTCGGACGGCATTTGGCGGTGCACTGTAGGAGCTGTTTGTGCAAGCCGTCCTTCGAGGACACCACGCTTTTAGATCGGCAGAAAGACAAGGTGACGAGGGAGCTGATAGAGGCTTTTTACATAGCGGAAAGCGGGGTGGAGTGGATCAGCGAGCCCTCGGTGACGCTATCTATGAAAGAGATGATGTTTTTGATTTTAACAATGAAAACAAAAGGGGGGGGGGAGCACGTGTCACGTGAATGACCGGTGCCTTATGTGATGAGGCAGAAAGTTTGGAGCATGTGTAGATAGCCTTACGTAATACTTTTTGTTTTCTGCAATAAAACCTTTAGTTGCGAGGCAGCGCCTGTCCCGCCTTGGTTGATCCTTCCTTCTAATCTTTGTCTTTCTGGGCTGTTTTATCCACATTATGTTAATAACTATGGTTTCGTGTTTTGTTGCACACCAATGAACCATGAAAAGTAACCGCCGATCCGTCCTCTTATTTGTTAGTCCTGGAAAACCTAACGTACCAGAATAAGAAACTCCCAGCTACATGCGAAGAAAATTTGTATCTTGGTTATATTTTGTGTTTACACAAAACTCCACCCAAACTAAATTGTCCTCGAGACTACATTGGTAATCATGTTTTATCTCAGTTTTTGTCTTTTCGCCTACGGGTATGTCTACCAAGTTTTCGGATTATGCGCATGCTCTCTAGATTTTGTTAAATGCCATTCCCGTTCTCTGGATTATGCTATACGAGCCCTGTTAAACAAAAACATTTTTGCTACACCGAAAATTTAAAAAAATTACTGAAAACAAGTTTCATAAAAATACCCAGACTTTGTATAAAAATCAACGCAGAAAGCACAGGACCTTACAAATCAGTGAGTACGGAATGTTGAGTAACCTCCACGCACTGTTTTGAATTTGCAGCGCCTTTTCCTGAAGACGTCGTATATCCAAAGTTGCTCGAGGCAAGAGGAATCAACGGAACAAAATTATTGCACATTAAAGAGGGTCTGACTCTTAGTTTGGAAAAACTATCTGTACTGGCAGACTCACTCGTTTTTACTGACAGCAATGACGGAGTTGCAACTGAAATAATCGTAAGTTTTTTTCACGAAAGAAAAATGCATATTTGCAATTATGAACCTCGGATGTAGTTCATATCAAAGAGTTTTTATCTCACTACCAGAGTGCCTGGTCAATCAACAAACCTAATCACAATAGGGACCCTCGAAACGACAGTGTAACGGAACAAATCTCAGACGGGGCCTATATGGTGGATGCACACTAACTAATGCTCGCATCAAAATATTTAACGCCATAAAACGGTCTTCACAGTGTTGCCGACGTTTTAACAAGCAACATGTATATTGCACCGATATCCGCATTAATACTAGAGTATAGAGTGTTCGACGACGCCGACATTGATAAATTCTGGAATACTGGGAATTTTCAAACATATTTATATTGAATTGTTTTTAACAACCGTAAAACAAAAAAGTCCGTAATTAACAGGTTATTTTTTTATTTTAAACGCAGTGTTGGACAACCCTTAATATTTACGTGTGTTGTCAGTTATACATATGTTCGCGCGCCCAGTTGAGGCCGAGTTTTCTGTTTCTGTTATGCATGCAAATCCAGCCAGATAGGAACGTTTAATTTATGAAGAGATAAATAAAAAAAAAAGAAACTCATGGACGTGCAGATGACACAGACCTAAAACAATGATTTCTGCTTCTCACTGTAATCATTGTTGCGATCTTATTATTTCTTTGATTATGCACCCACTTGCCGATTTTCACACCTTACCACAGTTTGTTTATGAACTTTACAGAATTATATTTCTTACTAAATGTACCACAGAAATTGCCAGTTCAGAATGGAGAGACATATTAGGCTGCATTAGGGACAGACATATAAAAAAATTTTCATTCGGGTACCGGCTGAAATACGAAAACAGGGACAAGAATATATTTTTCGAAGCACATTGCTTCCCGTTAAATCTTTCTATCATTTGCTGCAAATACTGAACACGTTGTTTACAATTTAAAAGTACAGGCAACTGATCCCCAGTTGTTTCCACTGTACCCATCTCTTGTTAAGCGTCGACCATATACAGCAATGAAAAAAAAAACTCCTATGCATACTTGTACAGTTCGTTAACAACTATAATGTTTGGCTTCTTTAACAATAATATTCTTGTAGTGCGATGTTCAATACTTAGTTTCAAATAAAGTTTCTGAAAAGTCTGTATGTTAGCGTATCCTTGTAGCTTTCCTTTACAGTGTCGAAATATAATACTGGTGTGAAACCTTGATGACAGTCGAGCATTGCTGTTTTAGTCATGAAGCTTGTGAAATGAAATATTGATTTTTATGCTAAAACAAAAGAGAGTTTTGTAAAATGCGTAGCACTTTGGTCTGTCTAAGTAAGGTCATGCAAACGTGTACCGTTGAAATTTTATTTCTTTATAGTTTTAGTTGTTAATTTTCAATGTATGAAGAAACTGATATTACAAAGAGCTCAAGAAAAAGAAATCAAGGCTGCGTCAAAGTGGAAACCCTCTTTCGGCGTTCTGTAATTTTCTGCAAGCTTTGACGTGCCGTCAAACATTGCAGTATCTGAAGCATTAAAAGATCAACAATACGCAAATAAAAAAGGTCCACTATTTTATTGCGGAAGGTGTTCATTGTGCTAATACCCACGAATATTCTTACACAGGATTGTAGAAACTATTAATCGCGCTTCAAAAATGCAAGATCCTTGTAATTCTGATATTTTTCTTTATATTTGTGACTAATAATACCGTTTTGATTTTTAAGATATGGCATTCGAACTTTCTCCTTATACAATACATATAATGGTGTATCATTTGTATATGCTTTGGTGCTTTATTTTATAAAAATAATATTTACAGCGCTTCACACCTGTCTGAATGTAAACTTTGCTCAACTTCAACGTGCAATAAAACATTTTGATTTAATAAGCCGAAATGTTTTACACAATATCGCCTAGTTTTTATTTTAGGTTGTTTTTTTATTGAAACAATGAATTATGTTTTAGTATAAAATATTGCGCTTATAATGGCAGATATTTGCCTGCTTTTACTGTTTTACTAATATTGGTGAGCTGTTATCTCGTAACGTCTTTAAGCTTTCCTGTTCACTTTTTTCATATATTAGTTTTATAAGTATATAACATTTAGAGATAAAGTGTTTCTCTATTTTATAAATAACGCTAAGGATGGCGATTAAAACATGCCTAAAGATAATAACTTTCGCAAATTCAACGTAATATTTAAAAAAAATATATTTTTCGCATTTAAATACTCACGCTACAACGCGATGTTTTACCGTGAAAATGCATTGCATTATTCTGTCTCGTCTAAATTAGAATGCTTCAAAATCTGCCATCATGATCAAAGTTAGCGGAAACGCGGGACCGTGTAACACCGACTATTATCAGAGCAGTCTAAAAGCTCGGCCTGAAACTGTAGCGAGTGCGACATTAAAGGTGCGATGCAAAAACTTTGGCGCTTTGCGCAAATACCTCTTAAAACGAATCCCTGACGTTAATGACCAATAAAACACGCGTTCGTTTTTCACCCCACGGAATAGAAGTTCCAGAAAAAAATTGGAGAAAAACGAGCACCGTTCACCCCCTCAACTCGCAGGCAGAACAAGCGGCCACGTGATGTGGAGCCGTTTATATGCCGCCAATGTTGATCATAGCCACGCGCTGGGGCTGGAAAAGCACAGGACACGCGCTAAGTTCCGGACATTCTTATGGCTCGGCTATTGTCGTCGCTGCAGCGATTGGACACGGGCCACTACCCGAATGCATGTCGAGGCATCGATTGTCACAATCCCAAATCGAATGCGTACGCACTCTTCGCGTCCACTGTGTGAGCAGCATTTGAATATTGTCACCGCCAAGCTCGATGGCGCATTCCCGGGGATCGTACTGTTGCCATTTTTGGTTTGGTAAAAACTTTTTTGAGTGCCTGCAGAGCTTTCGCTGACCGGGCCTAAGTCACCCGCTTGGGGGCGTTGCCGCTGGTCCTCTTCGCCCGTTTAGGGGCGTCGAAGTCCTGCCGCTTCACCGCCTCACAGGCCTGCTGGACGGCCCAGAGTTGATCGTCGAGGCTGGGGCTGCACAGTGCAGCGGACAGCCGCGGCGGGAGGGTTCGGGAGTTAGCACCGTGCGGGTGCTTGGTACAGTCCCAGAGCATGTGGGTTAAAGTTGCTACCTCTTTGCGACAGACCTCACACGTGTTCGTCGTGTATATTTCGGGAAACATTCTGTGATACTGTGCCGGGTTAGGGTACGTGCGCGTCTGCAGTTGTCTGAGTGCGACCGATTGTGCCCTGTCCAGCTTGTCACTGGGCGGAGGAAGTGTCCGTCGGGCCAGGCGGAAGGCCTTGGTGATTTCGTTGTAGCTCGTCATACGGTCCTTGCTGCTGTACCACGGACGACCGTCCCCGGCGCGGTTTGTTAGCTCGCGCGCCTTGGCGTGTGCCGTTCGTTGCCGTTACGATGCTCCTCGGAGACTTCCCCCACGTGTGCGGGGAACCACAGGAGTCAGGTTGGGGGTTCTGGTTCTCGGTGGACTTGACGTTGGCCTATGATTCGGGCTGCTCGTAGCGATATCCGTCCTTTGGCGAAGTTCCTGATCACTTGTCTCGAGTAACAGAGGACTGTTTTGGACGCCGGGTTCGAAAGGGCGAGGGCGACTGCTATTTCCTCCGCTTCCTCGGCGCGTTCGCATGCCACGCTTGCTGATATCTTTGTATCCCCGTCTGAATCGACGACCGTCACGGCAAATCGGGAGCCTCTCTCGTACTCGGCGGCGTCCACGAATCGCGTACCCACATTGTTGCTGTGGGCATTGAGGAGAGCCTTGGCTCGGGCCTCTCTTCTGCCTCGGTTGTACTCCGGGTGAACGTTTCTGGGGATTGGATCGACTCCTATTGTCTGCCGGATCGCGTCTGGGATAGTGACTTTGTGGCCCTGCTGTGTGTGGTATCTGGTGCCGAGGTTCTCGAGGATGCGGCGTCCAGCGTTCGTACCGGACAACCTTTCCAGTTGCGAGGTGCGCTGTGCCTCTGCGATTTCGCTCAGTGTGTTGTGGATGCCCAGCTGGAACAGGCGTTCCGTGCCTGTGGATTCCGGCAGGCCCAAGGCTATCTTGTAAAGCCTGCGTATGAGGACGTTGATCTTGCCTTCTTCTTTTCTGTACCAGTTGTGAAAGGCCGCAACGTAAGCGATATGGCAGACGACGAAAGAGTGGATGAGTCGCGCGAGGTTCTCCTCCCGCATTCCGCTCCTTCTGTTGGTGATTCTCTTGAGGAGTCTCGGGGCGTTGGACGTCTTGTGTACTAGTCTGGTGATGGTTCCACCGCTGTGGCCCGTGGCTTCGATTATCATGCCGAGGACTCTGATCTTCGGGACTGTCGGGATGGTCGCGCCATCGCTCGTGCGTAGACTGATTTCCTCACAGTTTCTTCGGGCTTTAAGTTTGCCCCGTTGTGCGGGCGGTAGAGAAGGAGTTCTGACTTATTGGGCGAGCACCGCGGGCCCGTGCCTTGAAGATGTGCCTCTATCGCGTCAATTGCTGACTGCAGCGTGGACTCGATGTGACCGTCGCTGCCTCTGTGTACCCAGATTGTGATGTCGTCAGCGTATATGGTGTGCCGGACGTCTTCGATGTCTTGCAGTTTCTCCGTCACCCCGATCATGACCAGGTTGAAGAGTGTGGGTGAGATGACCGAGCCCTGTGGGGTGCCGGTGCTGCCCAGCGTTTGCTCTTCCAGCTGGAGATCTCCCGCCACTAGCACGGCGCGCCTGTCCGTCAGGAAGTCTATCACGTAGTTGTAAGTGCGCAGGCCGAGGTTTCGTTGTGAAATTTGTCGCAGGATCGTTGAGTGAGCGACCTTGTCGAAAGCACTTTCTAGGTCGAGTCCGAGAATCGCCCTGGTTCCCCTGGTCCTGTTATCCAGCACTTGGTGTTTTAATTGCAACATGGCGTCTTGCGTGCCAAGGTGTTGGCGGAAGCCTATGAGGGACGGTGGTTAGATCCCTTTCTGTTCCAGGTACACTT